TTTGTCCCTGTTTCTCTGCTTTAAAGAGAAATTAGAGAGAGAGAGAGAGAGAGAGAGAGAGAGAGCGCGAGCGAGCTGTCATGCGCCCAGAGGGGAGGGGAGTTCCCAGGGAGCTGGAGGGCAGTAGGCTGGGCTGGTCATTGCCACAGGTCCAGGGGGCCATAGGTGGACCGTGCCACCAGCGGAGCAGCTCCTGTGGCCCAGCTGTGCTGTGTCCCGCCCCCAGCCCAGCCTCTGCCCCTTCCTCAGTTTCCCCTTGCTGTCCCCAGCTCTGTCCCCTGGGACCTGGAGCTCACGACCGTCCTGGTGGCACCAGCCCAAGGCCTGTTTCCCGAGCCAAGGCGCGGCCGGCCGGCATCCAGGGGAGCCTTGAACTCATGAATGGACACAGCGGCTGGGGCCCCAGCTGGGGGGAGGGGAGGCTTCCCAGGGGGCCCAGGGCCAGCTCAGCCCTGGGCTGTCCTTGGCCTCTGTGGCGCAGACAGACAGACCCCCCTTTGTCCGGCAGCCTGGACAAATCTCTTTAGTTCTCTGTCCCAGGGACTCAGGGTCGCCGCAGGCAGGCACCGGCCCAGCCCCGGGTGCTGGGGGAGGGAGGCCGGCCACAGCAGCTTCCTGGGCCTGCACTCACTCGTGGGGGCTGGGGTGGGGGGCAGTGCAGAAGCCGCTCTGGGGCTGGGCCTGGCTCCTGCCCACCGTGTCACTGCCAAGGGAGCCTGGCTGCCTGTTCTCCAAGGCTACGGAAATAGGCGGGCACTTCCAGAATTTCATGGAAAACCGAATGGAAAGATGCATTTATCTTGGTGCAAAAAGCGCCCGAAATCCGTGCACACGAGAGAGTCTTCCAGAAGCCGCGTGGGGTGTGGAGGCTGGGCCCTCGTGCCTGTGGCTGCCCCCAGCCCTGGTCGGGAATGCCCACGGCACGCCTACACTCAACCCTGCCATTTTTCATTGTGTTTCTGTAAAGATCACTCGGAAACGCGACTGCGAGGGCTTCGGGCGACCGTGGCCGACTTCTCCTTGCACCCCTGGGGTTGATGATTCGGCTTTCCCCAGGCGCTGCCTGTTGCGCGCCTGGCTCTGGGTTGGAATCAGGAAGACGCAGGTGGATGGGGAGCAGTGCCCAGGTTTGCAGTCAGGGCCAGAGGCAGAGCTGGGCGCATGGCGTGAGCTGTGGCCGGGGTCACCCAGGCCGTCGTGGGGGTGTCTCTGCCCAGGAGTTCTCCAGGAAGGGAGGGGCAGAGCAGTGCAGGGCCCCGAGGTGTGGTGACTGGCTACCCGGGTGAGAATTGCAGGCGTGAGTCTGGGGTGGGAGACAGAGGGGCTGCCCCTGGGGTACGTGGCGTCTTCTAGCCCCTGCAGAAGCTGCCGGCATTAGAAGTCATTAGTGGCCGGCGCCGTGGCTCACTAGGCTAATCCTCCGCCTTGCGGCGCCAGCACCCCGGGTTCTAGTCCCAGTCGGGGTGCCGGATTCTGTCCCGGTTGGCCCTCTTCCAGGCCAGCTCTCTGCTGTGGCCTGGGAGTGCAGTGGAGGATGGCCCAAGTGCTTGGGCCCTGCACCCGCATGGGAGACCAGGAGAAGCACCTGACTCCTGGCTTTGGATCAGCGTGGTGCGCTGGCCTCAGCGGGCTGGCCGCAGTGGCCACTGAGGGGTGAACCAACGGAAAAGGAAGACCTTTGTCTCTCTCTCTCACTGTCCACTCTGCCTGTCAAAAAAAAAAAAAAAAAGTCACATTAAGCTGATTCTTTGGGGATCCAATACACTCCTCAGATGGCTAACAGCAGCCGGGGCTGGGGCGGGGCAAAGCCAGGAGCCAGGAACTCCACCCGGCTCTGCCGTGTGGGTGGCAGCGACTCCAGAATTTGGGCCGCCACCTGCTGCCTCGCAGGGTGAGCATTAGCAGGAAGCCGGACTCGGGACCAGAGCCGGGGCTCAACCCCAGGCCCTGTGCTATGGGTGCTGGGGTCCCGGGTGGCATCCCGGCTGCTCTGCCAAATGCCTGCCAGGTGTTTATTTTTTAAAGATTATTATTATTTATTTGAAAGACAGCATAACAGAGATCTTCCATCTACTGGTTCACTCCACAAATGGCCGCAATGGCTGGGGCTGGGCCAGCCCCAGATCAGGAGGCTGGAACTCCATCCGGGTCTCCCACGTGGGTGCAGGGACCCACGGACCTGGCTGTCTGCTGCTACTTTCCCAGATGCATTAGCAGGGAGCTGGATGGGAAGTGGAGCAGCCGGGACACAAACTGGCCCTCACATGGGATGCCGGCCCACGGCTGCCCTGGTCTGGGACAGTCTGAGTTTTATTTATGCCTGTGCCCTGTTAAAGATAGTCCCTCCTCCTGCTCCTGGTGGGGGCAAGGGTGGGCCACCTGGGATACTGCCTGGCACTACAAAGGGGGGACCATGCAACCACGCGGCTGCACCCCAGCTACTTCCCGCCAAGGAGGCAGCCGAGCTGGGGAGAGACCTGGCCAGAGGTCGTGAGCTGTCCCCAAGAGGGGGGACGCCACCTGGCCCAGGGTCAATCTTTTGATTCAAGGCCAGTTTGTCTTAGATGTGTTTTCCTGGCATGGAAGTAACCCCGCTGGGCGTTCATTCACTGGCCTCTGAAATGCACTGCGCCTCTCTACATTTCCTTAAAGGAGAGGCCGCCGGCTTTACCATGAGCCGCCTCTCGTGGCTTCCGAAAGCGGCAGAGGCGTGGGCTGGAGGGTGGCAGTGGTCACGTGACCACGTTGGTCAAAGTTCATTAAAAGAAAAAAAAAATAGCCGTGTCAGCACAACAGCCGGTAGCTGGGAAAAGCGAATGCAGCGTCTCCCTCTGCCGGCCTGGGAAGACAGAAGCTGGCCCGGGGTCTCTGGGGTGGTGAGAATGCTCTCTCTTGGACCGGCCTCCCTGAATTCTCTCTCTCCCAGCGATGCTGCCGCCTAAGGGAGAGACAAGGGGAGTTTTGTGGAGCCCAGAAATAAATAAGTGGCTGCCCAGGTTGCCACGGCAACTGTGACATCACCTTCGAACCCGCGTGGCTGGAGCTGGTGGCCGGCTGGCCGAAGGAGCAGGGCAGGCATTTGCCGACGGGCCTGGTGGCAGGTGCAGGAGGAGCCGTCCCCTGGCTGGGGCCTCCGGTTCTCACCCTGATGGACGGTGCTGGCCCCGTCCCTTCCCGGGTGGCCAGTGGTGGCGCGCACTGCTGTGGGGAGGGAGGCTCGGGGCTGACTCTGCTCCAGACCCCTCCCCTCTGCCTTGGCTCCCAGCTCTGCCTCCATCGTGGTGTGGCTGCCTGCTAGGCACCTCTCTTGTCACGTGACATTGTCTGTTCTTTATTTATTTGAAAGAATGACAGAGAGAGGAAGGATTTCTTCTACCCACTGGTTCACTCCCCTTGCAACAACCAAGGCTGCATCAGGCCAAAGCCTGGGACTCCATGCAAGTCTCCCGCGTGGGTGCAGGGGCCCGAGGACTTGGGCCGTCTTCCACTGCTTTCCCAGGTGCGTTAGCAGGGAGCTGGATCGGAAGTGGAGCAGCCAGGACCAACACCATATACCATATAATGAGTCGTACGGGATTAGGGGCCCACCCTGTAAATACATCAGCTGAGATGTAAGGTGGAGGGCTGGCACTGTGGTGTGGCAGGTTAAGCTGCCGCCTGTAGCGCTGGCACCCGCTATGGGCACAGGTTCGAGTCCCAGCTGCTCCACTTCAGATCCAGCTCCCTGCTAATGCACCTGGGAAAGCAGCAGAGGATGCACCCATGTGGGAGACCAGGAAGCAGCTCCTGGTTCTCGTTTTCCGACTGGAAAAAATGTAGGATGGCAACAGTCCCAATAAGGTCCCACTCACAGGTACCGGGGCTGGGATTTCAGACGTGTGGGTGGCGAGTGGCCCCGTGGAGCCTGTCACACGCTGACTTACTAAGCCAGTCTTCATGAGCCTGTGGCTACTGAGCCAGCCTTGCTTGCTGACGGCTTCCTGGGCTGCCCTGGGAGAGGGGCAGGCACTTGGGCTGGGGGGCGCCAGGGTGGATGGGGCAGCTGCATTGGACCTATGGAGTGATCCAGGTGCCAAGGGGGACAAGGACCCCAGAGCCCCCAGGGCGAGTCAGGGTCAGTGCCTAGAGGACCCCCCACCCCCACCTTCACTCTTGCCCTGCCTGCACTGTTTATGGAGTCTGCATACAGAAGGTGCCTAGTGCATAGGGAACTAACATGATCCTGGCATACAGAAGGTGCTCAGTAGGTGCTCAGTGAGCTCTCCTGCACCGAGCCCTTTGTTCTGCATCACATTCTGGTTTCTTGTTTTTCTTTTTGGGGGGGCAGGGCTGGGTCCTCCGTAGTCCCTGCCAGGATTTCGGTGCGTCTGGCTGAGTTTAGCGCCCCCTGGTGGACGATGCCCATCAGAGGCCTCCTGCCGGCTGGAATCCAGATGTGTGCGCGTGTTGCACCTCCCGGCTCTCGGATGCTTTCCACTGCCCAGCCGGGCCCTGCGTGTGGTCCCAGCCTGGCGTCCGTGTCCCCGAGCAGTCACATCTCGGTGGTGCCCGGCTCAGAGGTCAGCCGACCTGGCGAGGCCCTCAGTGCCGCTGGGTGAGCTCATTTCTTGAGCTCTGGGCACTGCAACCCCTGGAGGGGGCATCGGGCACGGGGCGACGCCAGCGCATCAGGAATGCTTGTTTGTATCTATTTAAAGTGACGTACAGATTTATTTGAAAGGCAGAGTGACCTGGGGGGAGGGGAGAGGGAGGGGGAGGGAGAGAGGAAGAGGGAGGGGGAGAGAGAGAGCGTCCATCTGCTGGTTCACTCTCCAAGTGGCCACAGAGCCTGGTGCTGGGCCAGGCCAAAGCCAGGAGCCTGGAACTCCATCTGGGTCTTCCACGTGGGTGGCAGGGACCCAAGTACCTGGGCCATCTTCTGTGGCTTCCCCAGGTGCATTGCAATGAGCTGGATCGGAAGTGGAAGAGCCGGGACTCGAACCGGCGCGAAGTCACAGGCAGGGGTTTAACCCCCTGCACCACAGTGCTGGCCCTGGGAGTGTTTGTGTTTAAGATAAGGCCACTTAGCAACCCCAGTTCCCGCAGAAATGGGTGCATTGTGTCCACCCAGAGGTGTGCACACAGACATTGTGAGCCCAGCCACCCCGGGCGGCAGCTCCCATTTGCCGTCCGTGGTGTAGCCAGCGGCAAAACCCACGTGGCCATGGAAAGAGCTCGCTTCTGTCTCCAGCAACACAGATAAATCTCCCCAGAATCTCCGTGAGCCAAAGAAAGCGGGCACAGAAGGGTGTGGAGGGTGAGGGTGCCTGGAGAGCGAGGCGGGGAGCAGGCGGTGACCTCCAGTGGTGGTGTCAGAGCGGGCTATCCTCTGGGGAAAGGTGACCCTGGGAGGGCAGGAGGGCACTTCCCGGGGGGGCACGAGCCGAGCCGAGCTGGACGCGGATGCTTCAAGAAGTTTGTGGAAAATGGCGGGCGTTTGGCGCAGCATAGGATGCCGGTGCCCCGTGTCGGGGTCTGGGTCTGGGTTCTGGCTCCTCCGCCCTGGGGTCTGTCTGCTGCTGTTGCACCTGCGAGGCAGTGGCCGTGGCTCAAGGACCTGGGCTCCTGCTCCCCTGTGGGGGGGGGGCCTGGACGGAGTTCCTGCCTCCTGACGTCATCCTGGCCCACACCTGGCTCCGGCGAGCTTTTAGGGAGTGCACGAGCAGATGGAAGACCTGTCTCTCTCTCTCTCTGTCTAATAAAAATAAATAATTTAAAAATTTGGTGGAAAAATGGAATTCATTTATTTTGGAGCAAAAAAATGGAAACCTGTACAGTTTTCTCATAGTACATATTTTCGGAGAACTTCATGAAACTCTTCAGAAGTGTTTTTATAAATGCTTATTTATTCGAAAGGCAGAGAGCGAGCGAGTGAGAGCGAGCGAGAGAGAGCGAGCGAGAACTTCCCATCCACTGGTTCCCTGCCCAGAGCCGCCTCCAGGTCTCCACGTGGGTGGCAGGGGCTGAGGTGGGAGACTGCAGATTCCAGGGGTCCCACAGCTGCTTCCCCCTCCCCCTGGGAAAATGTAGGTGGGTGGGAGGGCGGGGTGGGGGGGCTCCGGCTGCAGCTGCCTCCCCAGCCCGGCCCCCTGAGATCCTGCCTGTCATTGTAGGTTCATGAACCACCGAGTCCCCGCCCACAAGCGGTACCAGCCCACGGAGTACGAGCACGCAGCCAACTGTGCCACCCACGCCGTGAGTGGGCCCTTGCAGGGGGCTGGGGGCGGCTTGGGGCTTAGGGCCCGTTCCTGGAGTCCCCTGTGGTCCTCAGAGGAGGGACGGTCCCTGGGGTCCATGGGGCTGAGCGCGCCTCTCCTTTGTGCCGAGGGCTGTCAGCGGCTCCCTGGTACCCAGTGCAGCATCATCTGCCTGGAGCTCCCGCTGTCTCCGCCCAACCCGCCCAGTGAGGCCCTTTGCGTCGGAGCCTGGCTGAAGCCCCCACTCCTGACTTCCCACCTGCCCTTATCCCGAGGAGCCCTGGGCCGTCGATGCCCTCATTGCTCTCCGGGATTCTTAGCCGGAACGTAGCAGTCCATCACTTAGTCATTCAGCAAACCGTTCCTGGCCAGGCCACCCTGGGTCCCATGGGGGCCGTTTCCAAATCCGTGCCCCAGAGGCCTATGGGGCGAGGGCAGCTAGCATGGGGTGGGGGCTGTGACAGTGTTGCTGACTCGGGCACTCTCTGCTCGGTGCACGAGCATCGCGGCGAGTCAGGTCTACACTGCTCCCCACCGGCAGTGAGGCCCAGCTGCGAGCCTGCATCTCTCCATCTGCAGAGGGGGGTCATCAGAACCGCTCCCACGGTGGCTCAGGCACCAGCGGCCGCCTCCCGGGGAAGAGGGGCCGCACTCCCCTGCTGCTGTTTGTCTCTGGGGGCAGCTAGGGGGCTGGGAACCCAGTAGGAGGCACAGCCCACGCAGCGGGCACCTGCAGGGGTGGGGGAGCTATCATCCTTTGTTCACTGGACACGGTCTCTCGTTAGTGCTGGCCAGCAATGGTGATGCTGGGCCCGGCGGCACAAATGAGTGAGTGAATGAATGAATGAGTACTGGGATGGTGGGGGGGCGGGTCACAGAACACAACACACAGTCAAGGAGCCGGTGCTGTGGTGTAGTGCTGCAGCAGCGCCATCCCATGTGGGCTCTGGTTCGAGTCCCGGCTGCTCCACTTCCAATCCAGCTCCCTGCTGATGGTCTGGGAAAGCAGTGGAAGATGGCCCAAGTGCTTGGGCCCCTGCACCAACATGGGAGACCCGGAAGGACCTCCTGGCTTCAGCCTGGCCCAGCTCTGACCGTTGCAGCCAACTGGGGACTGAACCAGCAGATGGAAGACCTCTCTCTCTCTCTGTCTCTCCTCCTCTGTGTACCTCTGCCCTTTAAAATAAGTAAATAAATCTTTTGGGAAGATTGACAGCCCAGGGAAGTTCCACCCCTAGGTTATGAAACAGCGTGATGCTGCCGGCGCCGCAGCTCACTAGGCTAATCCTCCGCCTTGTGGCGCCGGCACACCAGGTTCTAGTCCCGGTCGGGGCGCCGGATTCTGTACCGGTTGCCCCTCTTCCAGGCCAGCTCTCTGCTGTGGCCAGGGAGTGCAGTGGAGGATGGCCCAGGTGCTTGGGCCCTGCACCCCATGGGAGACCAGGAAAAGCACCTGGCTCCTGGCTCCTGCCATCAGATCAGCGCGGTGCGCCGGCCGCAGCGCGCTGACCGCGGCGGCCATTGGAGGGTGAACCAACGGCAAAGGAAGACCTTTCTCTCTGTCTCTCTCTCTCACTGTCCACTCTGCCTGTCTAAACAACATATATAAAAAAAAAAAAAAAAAAAAAAGAAACAGCGTGATGCGGTCTCTGTTTTTTAAGGCTATGTATTAAAATTTAGGAAAGTGATTTTTTTAAAAGTTTATTTGAAAGGCAGGGTTAGAGAGGGGGAGACAGGGAGAGAACTTCTGTCCAGTGGTTCATTCCCCATGTGGTTGTCACGATCGGCCTGGGCCACGTGAAGTCCGGAACTCCACCCGGAGCTCCCAAGTGGGTGCAGGGGCCCGAGCACTCGGGCCATCTTTTGCTGCTTTCCCGGGTGCATGAGCAGGGAGTCGGATCGGAAGTGGAACAGCCGGGACTCGAACCGGTGCTTACATGAGACGCTGGCGTCACAGGCAGCAGCTTAACCTGCTGTGCCACTGAGTGATGTCTGAATGTTCGTGATTCCACGCCCCCTCTTGCCCAGTGACATTCAGTCGGCCGTGTGCAGAGGGACAGGTTGGTGGCTGGCCGATGGCCTCTTACTGAGGACCCTGCCCCGTGCCGTGCCTTGGTGCTGGTGCCCCTCCCCCCCAGCCTAGAGGCTGGCTCCTCTGCCTTCAGGGGACCACGAGAGGACCTTGTGTGACACGTGGTGCATCAGGCTCCTCTGCGTGGGGCCGGGCCGTGGGGGGCCGCACCCCTTCCCCCCGTGGTACCTGGGTGGCTTTGGGAACAGAATGCCCCAGCTCTTAGCCGCTGGCCCCGTGCACCTCTTGGAATTTAGAGCCAGGCCCATGAAAGAGAAGGAGAATGAAGCAGTTCAGGTCCTCTGTGGCCTGGGGCAGGTGCAGGCCTGGGAGGGCCCCAGAGGCCCCACGTGCCCCCCCCCCGGGCATCACACACGCCCGCCCCGCCTCCTCCCTGCAGTTCTGGATCGTCCCCAGCATCCTTGGCAGCTCCAACCTCTACTTCTTGTCGGACGACGACTGGGAGACGCTCTCCGCCTGGATCTACGGCCTGGGCCTCTGCGGCCTCTTCGTGGTGTCCACCGTGTTCCACACCGTCTCCTGGAAGAAGAGCCACCTCAGGTGACCCCGGGGGCAGGGCACGGGCCCTGTCACAGCAGGGCCTCGGCGTCCCCTCCCCGGGCCACCCACATCGGTCCCCAGTTGCACTGGCAGGGTGAGCGGGAGCGCCCCTGACCATTGCAGTTTAGGTTTGTTGAGTTTTTATGATTGCGATAGAAGTCACACGGCATCAGCCCCTAAAGCCTGGTGGCTTCTTGTAACCACAGACATTTGCTATCTCAGCTTTGGGGGTCAGCGCTCCAGGAGTTTGCTGTGTGGCTCTGTCCAGGGTCCCACCAAGCCATCCTCTCGACCGGGGTCCCAGGCCCCACCCCCAAGGCTGCCCCTGCCCCTGGCTGGCCGGTTGGTGGCAGATGTTTGGGGACGCACGGGCCCTGCTTACGTGGTCCAGCCCGGGAATGCACGCTCCATTGTCTCCAGGGCCCCTGAGTTGACCCTGTTTGTTGTGTGACCCTGTTTGAGGTGTGCACGGGAACAGGAAGTGGGCACTCAGGTAGTCTGGGAGGCCAGCTGCCACGCTGGTCATACACTGGTCATACGCTAACGCTTGTACTGCTCACGCAGCCCGAGAGCCCTGTGGCTGTCTCAAACCATGAAGGTGGATTTGCAAACCACTCAGCGAGTGACTACCTGTGGGAGGGTAGCGTAGATAGCGTGGCTACTTCCCCTGTGCCGCACGGAACAAGCTTCGCGCACACCCCTCAACAGTGTGCCATTAAAACTGTAGAAATTATTTCTGGAATGTTTCTATTTCGTATGAGGGTCCTTCAAAACGTTTGTGGGAGAAAGGAATGAAAAAAATTTTATTTTGGTGCAAAATGAAATCCACACACAGGTTTGAAATCCATGCATACAAATTAAAAAAAAAATTTTTTTTTGCATATGAACTTTGTCCGGGCACCTCACATGCATGAATTTCAAATGTTTTTGCACCAGAATGAACTTTACGTTTTCTCTCCATTTGCCATGAACTTCCTGCAGTGTGTTCACGTGGATGGAGCGTTGCACTCTGCCCGCGAGGCAGACGACGCAGTCCACGGAGGCCCAGGGTTGTGGCACCCGCTGGAGGCAAGCCAGCCCCAGCCCGGGGCCCCTCCGCCCCGGGGGCAGGCACCGTGGTGCACGGCCCGGCTCTGGGGATGCCGGCCCCACCCTGCCGCCCAGCCCTGACCACGGCTCTCTGTGTGCCCTAGGACGGTGGAGCACTGTCTGCACATGTCGGACCGCATGGTCATCTACTTCTTCATAGCGGCCTCCTACGCGCCCTGGTGAGTCCCGCCCCCAGCAGCCGCGGGAGGTGTGGTGCCCTCAACATCTGCACGTCTGTCTCTGAGCAGTGAGCACGCACGTTTGCTATTGGGTTTCTGCCCAAGGAGTTCCTACCCCCACCGCTGCCTAAGATTTATTTACTACTGTGAAAGAGTAGAGACCCAGACAGAGAGAGATACAGATAGCTTCCGTC